TTTGTCAGTGTCAGCCATGTGGATGAGTCATGGCCATTGCTTGACCAATTTGCTCTCTGTGAAAGCCTGAGAGAATGTTTTCTCTACATATGACTCTCCTTAGGCACACTCTACATTGTCAATCATTTTCCTCTGTGGCCCCATAATCTCCTTGATCAGGAAATTTGGGAGAACATTGAGTCAAACTATAAGTATTTTTAAACAATTATTGATCAATTATAATGGTCACAAATGATTTTTCTTTGCATGAAGTATTACAAAGGAAGATACTGTGACATCTCATGTGTCAATATGCCCCTGATTCATGAATGCTGGATGCAGCATTTCCAGGGCCATGACACATGGAGGTGCCCCACAGAGGGGGTGTCACCCACAGGTCTGTGCATTCTGGGTGGAGCCCATCTACCCCACTTGAGACCAAGTTCCTAGGTTTTCCTTTCACCTTTGCATTTACTAGGACATTCCTGGCTGGGACAACACCCACCAAAGAGCCTTTTCATCACACCACTCTTGGCTCTTATGCTCTGGTCCTCATCCGTATTTGCAATTGTTCAGGTGCTCTTTGCCTTTGCTTTTTCTGGGAGTGTTGCGTTGTGCTTTTCAGCTTTTTCGAGTCAGTTGCAAAACAGAAGAGCATATGATTTGGGTCCCTGCCCTGCCCATGCCAGGGGGACTTTGTGACCGGCTTTCACCAGCAGAATAAGGGCAGAGGTGATAACTCATGAATCCAGACCTCAACAGGCTTCATAGTTCTGAATCCCCTTCCCAGAAATTGTCCTTCATCAAGAGAAGACACCCCTAGTGTTACAGTTTGCATCTAGATGTTCCCCCAAAGCCTAACGCAGTCACAGGTGGGGCTTTTCTGTGGTGGCTAGAGAGTGTGTGACACTGGGATTGATTCATGGTGGGACACTAGGATCAAGGGCACTAGGATTAAGGGTGTGAGCGCTGCCTGCCCTCAGTAGCCTGATAAGACATAAGGGATACAAAGAGCTGGGGTTGCCGCTTGTTGCCTTGTTACCTTCTGCCCACCACGAGCTGTTTCTCCTTGGTGATGCCTATGTGCCTTTCCACCCTGCCTTGGAGCCAGCCAATTATGAACTGAAATCCCTACAAACTGTGAGCTAAATAAACCATTTCTCC